AACTAATGATCTTGGGCATTAAATTCTTCCCACTGAGGCAGTATATGACCATTGATTATTTCCCAGTGCCAAAAGAGAGGAGTCTGTAGGATGTTCATTCCCCTGCTCTCGAACACAGGCCTTACACTAAGTATAAGTGGTGATAGAATTGGTACGTGGCTCTTTTCTAAATAAGTCAAAATAAATGGTCAATATTAGTAAATCCTTGGTAAATCCACTCAGAGTTCTCACTGTTGCCTCCTGTTTTTTTTCTTTTTCTTTTTTTTCTTTTTTTTTTAATCTGCTACTACGGTCCTGTTAAGCAGGTGCCACTCCTGGCTGCTTACTCCAAGAATAAGGGCTGGGAAACTTGTCCCTGCAAGTTTAAGTTACCACCACCCTGTGCTTCAGCTGGAAATCACCACTGCTTATTTGGCTTGAGCTCGGGTCCTCCACAGCTGTGTAAACTTGTGAGACCAGCTCTTCAATCATGTTGTGAATTTACCTAAACCCACTTTCAGTTCAGTTCAGTTCAGTTCAGTTCAGTTAATGTATTTGGGTTTGTGTTGCAATGTTCAGTTAGGTACTTCTGCTCACTCCCAACAGGGCAGAGCAGACAGAACCTTCTAGCATATTTCTAGCACACTGCTAATAGTCTTTGCTCCCTCATGCTTCCTCGAAGTAATTCTTGAGTAATTCTGGCTCCTCCTCTTTTTCCAGTCCCTGTGCATGGATAGTTACTCACAGAGTGCAACGTGTTCCACTGCAGGTCAGTGTGCACCAGTGCAGGCTCAACATATTGCCTCATTTGCTATTGCACTGCTTGACTTTGTCTCGTAGCCACATTGGTATTCCAGCCCAGGAATGGAAGGATTGCACTCGTGAGCAATGCATGCTTTGTCCATTCAAACATTCGGTCATCTAGAAGCTTCTGTCTGGGGAACTTCAAAAATGCAAGGGCGGAATCCTTGCAGATTTCTTTGCTGTAAAATGCTGAAGTTTGTGCTTCAAGAATAGGTCGTGCCCTTACCCAAGCTGTGCAACTGAACAGGGCTTCTCCACAGTGGAGCAGATGTGGTTGGCACTGTGGTGTGAATGTTGTGGGATGGCATCGCTGTATCCCAAAGAACCTACAGCTATGTCATCTTCTTAAATTCTAATGTAATTAGAAATTGAAACTGAGAGTGAATTTGTGAATAATCTGCTCTGCATCCTGATGGAGAGTCAGTTCTCCAACCCATGGAGTTCAGCCCCAAGCAAACCTCTCACGTTCTTCCTTGTAACTCAGAACACATAACTCAGCTCTAAGATACATACTGTACAAGTTCTCTTAGCATCCTTCACATATCATATCATGGCATATCAAACAGCCTTTTGCAGTCTGATACGAACAGCTATTCATTTATTTAGATTTGGGATTAATGAAGGTGGAAGAGAGCATTTGGTGAATTTTATAGGACAGTTTCAGTATTAAGAAAAATAAATACCAGGCTTTATATCTTCATGCAAAACAGCTGAGGAGATTTGATAATACTATGATAATTCTGGCTTTAAAAGGTTTAAGTTCTGTAACCAAAGCTGTGGATTTCATTTACATACATGAGACTATGAAACCTATGTCAAAATGTGTCTTGTCACTGGTGAGTGGAATTTTAGGAGTTACTATTCAAAATGTTCTTTCATCAGCTTCAGCACTGCAATGAATACATGCATTGTCCATATTTAAGTGGGGGGGGAAAGTGACTATTCTCAATAACTGGAATATTCATATGAACTTTTATGTTAAACATTATTTGATATGCTCTTTCAGAAACAAAACCATGAAGATTGAGTCCAGGAGATCCTTGCTATTAAGGCAATATGATTTTCTGTAAATACAGTGTTGATGTGTGCTTAAAAGGTTGTACTGTTACAGGGAGACACTTGAAATCTAAGGAAATAAGCAGAAGACAGAGCCTTGTGTAGTCTGACTTTGTGAGATGTCAGGTAGCATGTGAAGTGTGTAAATTTTTTCATTTGGCTAACGATACTGAGGCACATAGCAACACTCAAGGAGTGATGGACACACTGGAGTGAGGTCACAGTTGTGGAAGCTGTGATAAGGTTACAGTGCCACTGCTACACTGCTATCTATTATCTAGAGCAAGTGATAAAATACAAGTGATAAGGGATACACTCTACCAGAACAGATTTATGACCATGCATCACTTGAGACAAAGGTGCACTCCAAGAGAGCTAATCTTGACAGTTTATTCTGTTCTGCAGGCAGGTGTTCCACTTGGGCTCTGTATCACTCACTGGCCATGCAGTGCGGTGTACAAATGGAAAACACCCTTTGGATCCCAAGAAGAATTATTATAATAAGCAGGAGAGAATCTGTGATGGGTGAGAGAGGAAAAGTGCACTTTGGAGCAGGGGATGCCCTGCTGGCACTGCCTGTCGCATCCACCGCCAGCATGTTCTTTCTGCCTCCTTTTCCACAGTTTGTTGTTTCTCTAGGGTCGATAGGTAATAGTGCCCCTAGTGATGGTCTAGCACATTTGCCCGCTCATACTGATTCCATCTGACATGCAGCTTCATAAAGTTGTACAGCCATTAATTTCCTATTAGCCCAAAGGCATGGTCGTGAGCGCTCTAAAAGCATTTGTTGTACAAATTTTAGTGATCATTCAAAATCAATATATCAGAATATGCGAAAGTTGAAGAGTTTTTCCTAACCAGCTACATATTAACACAGAACTCAGGGATTTATTTCCAGGCTGCAGAAACTTGGGCTGCAGGTGAACATGTGTTTGTCCTTTTTAGTAGGTTAACAGCATTTCTTGTCATTAAGCTATGTTTGCCTTGTCTCCTTTCTCACGTTTAGCTTTGACAAGCTCTAAGAAAGGAAATATATACCTGTTTGCAGCTGTTGCACATAGTGTTTTTTAAGATATTGCTTGCTTGAACAGGGAAAGTACCTGTGAGAGTCTTAACTCTTAATCTCAGATGGTTATTCATACTGTTGGAAATACTCAATTTATGAGGACGGTATCTCTGATAAAGCAGATTTTATTCGCAGTTGCAATGGCAGGCCTCCTGCAAGCAGGAGAGCACCCAGAAAACAGCGTACATCTTTTATTCCCTATTGCCTGATGCTTATCTCTTTCTCCCCTAGTTCCTCGCTGGCTGTATGTAAATCTGTAATTAATTAACTAACTTGTTTCACACTTGATCGTTGTTCTGTGGATGTCTGCTTGTCCTCCCTTCCACAAAGATAAGCTCGGAAGAAGGATAGGGGGGAGTATCTTGATGCCTGTCTGTCACGTAACAATCTTCTCGCAGAGTGACACAGTCCGGCCTTGTGGAGAGGCCCTAGCTGCTCTGATGTTTGCTAACTCTGTTTTTCTTTTGCTGGGAGTTTCTTATCCTAACAGAGCAGCTCTGCAATATGTTTCCTAATCCCTAGCACTATACTCACATTGTTTGGAACATTTAACAACTATTACAGTCTTGCAAGAAAGAATGAATCACATAATTCAGTACAAATGTTTCTAAAACATGCTGCTAACAAAGACAGTATTTCTACTTCTTAGATCAACTATTTCTACGGATAAGTTACAGAATACAAATAAATTATGTTCTACTTCTTCAAACCAATTGCCCTTTTTAATATCTAATGCAGAAACAACATTCCATTCCCACAATATCTAAGTGTGTTGTGTTCAGTTACTCAAATACGTGGATAAGAATGTATTTGTGTATGCTTTTTTTTCTCAGGCATCAGAAGAATACAGTGTTTAACACTACTCCTGTGAAAGCAGAAAGCTTGGAGGATCTCTGGGAAAACCTGATTTTTAAGCCCCTAAATGCCCTCAAGTAAACATCTCAGAAAGTCTGTCTCATCGAGGGAAAGCAAAAAATACCTCATATGTTCATGTGGGAGAAGGAAGCACTCATGACGTTACGATCTGGAATACCGATAACCAAAAATCTTAAACCATAACATCAGTTAACAAGCCCAACTGCGTCATGAGCTTGACAGGCAACACAACACCTTTGAGGGGTTGCTGCTGATTCTTCAGCGGGGCTTGTAAAAGTTTACCTAGACATCGCTCTGCCTCCCTGAAGACACACGAGCCCGTGGCATCTCCTTCATCCTCAGCTATCACTACTGGGATGATGGGATGATCCTGTGGGAGGCCATCAAGAGATGGAGTGGAGGATTCAGCAACAATCACTTATGGCTCCGGGGACATCCTGCAGCCTCACTGTCCCTCTTCCTACAACAGGTTTGTCTCCAGGATGGTGGCTTCCTACAATACAGACAATGCAGCGGTGCAAGGTGATGCGTAGCTGCAGGCCTGGGTGATGGATATCTTCACCAATGGTTTCCTGGGCCGGACATCCTCAGGTACCATTCCATAGCCCAGTGGGCTCCCAGAGGCTCCTAGATGTCCCCAGGGCCAAGGGGGTGCCTTGGATGGGGCCCTGATGGCTCTTTGTCCCCTGCCGTTCAGGCATCCCCTTCTTGCTGAAGATGGTGGCAGATCTCAACCAGTTTCTTACCATGCTGATGTTTATTGCTCAGCACAGCATGCAGCTGTCAACAGTGGACAGGTGGGAAAGGACCAGGGAATGTGGCAGGGCACGTTTAATGACATGGTGAGGTTCAACGTAGTACAATATGTTGTTCCAGAAGTAAAAGAACTCTACAACTGGCTTGAAGTTGACTTTCACCCACTCGAGTTATGTAGCCGTGTCAGCAAGGTACTGAACTGGGTGAAAGACCAAGCTGAAAAGGAACCTGAACTGCAGCTGTATGTTCCTCACCTGCAAAACAATACCATTCTTCGTCTTTTGCAGCAGGTGGCCCAGATCTATCCAAGCACTGAAGTGCAGATGTGCACTTCAGGAATCCCCATCTGCCCTGTTCTGGGCAGTTACTCCCTGCTGACCTCTGCACACTGGAGGGAAGTCTCCTACCGATGCCATGGAGGACATCTGTGTCTACCTGCTCTTTATGACAGCGTTCCCTGTTTGTCCCAGTCTGCACTGAAGGGACAACCTTGTCCAATGCCTTCGTGCACTTAAGAAATTGTCCCCATCTGAAACTTCTGTGCAAGACTATGGTCCTCCTTTCATGCTGGGGGGAACATCTGTCCCCCACTTACACTGGTAGCACATCCTTCTCATGCACCACAGGGACATCCCCATTGCATGCCAGAGAGCCATTTCACCTCTGTGTTGGAAAGACGTCCCCACCTCACTTGAGGACAATGTCCTCATCCGACCCGTCCCCACGCCAAATGGATGGCCCTACCCATCCCCTCTGTTGTCTGCGAGCTTTCTGCCCACAGTATGACATGGATGCCTTCCTATCCAATGCACCACCTTCCATGCGCCACCCGCCACCAGAGGAGAAGGGAAAGACCTTCCTTCAGCACTTCCTGGACACTCTCCCTGAAGTCAACACCACTGCCAACATCCTGGTGGTTCTCATCCCCCTCAGCTCCCACCTGGAAGACATTGTGAGCCTTCCTCACCACTTGGGTACACCCCAGCCCAGACGGTGGTCACCATTGCCCTGCTGATGCCAGGTGGCTTGAGGCAACCACGCCATGTGCCTGAACTTGACAGAGTCCCCATTCTTTTCTCCCTCTAGAGGCTCCTGGGGCATTGTCCAGAGGAGCGTTTCACACAGGCAGATCCCCGGTGGCTCATCAGGGCCTCCCAGAGAGAATTGGAAGACATCCCCAAATGCATTGAAGAGAGAAACTTCAAGGCTGAGGTGAGATACAATTACATAAATCCCCAGGAAATCAAGAACAGTACCCTTATCCGAGCTCCCAGCCACACCTGGCAGCCCTAATGCCTGAACACCAGCATGCCCAACTTCCAAAACCAAAATACCCTCAGCACCTAGCACGTATAAACACTCAGAACTAAGAACCTTTAGCACCCAGCTACCAGCACACGTTGTACTCAGTGCACACAATACACAGAACTTGGCACCTCCAGCACTCTTTGCACTGAGCAACTGCACCTCACACCAGTGCACCTCACAATCCAGTATCCAAAACCCAAACATCCCCAGGGCTCAGCATTCTCTGCACCAAGAGCTCAGCACCCACCTCATGTTCACCCTCAGAAGCCCCAGCATGTGAGCAGCCAGCATGCCCAGCACACAAAATTAGGCACCCCCAGCACCCTCTTCTTCAATAAATGTCATCTGTGAGTCAAACTCTCCGTGTGCTGTTTCAAGTGCAAGTGTCTGACTACTTTGGGGCTAACCAAAAGATAAAGCGTATTACTTAAGGACATTGTTCAAATGCCTCTTGACCACTGACAGGCACAAGGCATCGACCAGCTCTTTAGGAAGCATGTTCCAGTGGTGATCACCATTACAGTAAAAGCATTTTTCTCAACTATAGAAGCATAGAAAGGTTTGGGTTGGAAGGGACACCTGCTATAGGCAGTGACACCCCCCTTAGACTGGGCTGCTCACAGACCGATGCCTTGAACGTGGTGTTCACCCTTGGCGTGACTTTATGGCAATCCCGTGTTATCTCTTACTGGCTGGGCTCTTGGTGCCTCTGTTGCCAAGAATTGGGCCACATTCATATCCAATGAAGTGTGGCCTCGAACACCTCCAGGGAGGGGGCATCCACAACCCCTCTGGGCAACCTGTTCCAATATCTCACCATCCTCATGGTAACAAATTTCTTCCTAATGTCTAACCTAAATCAACCCACTTCCAGTTTAACGCCATTTCCTCTTGTCTTTGTCGCTACACACCCTTATGAAAGGTCCCTCACCAGCTTTCCTGCAGGACCCCTTCAGGTTGTGCAAGGCTGTTGCAAGGTCTGCCTGGAGCCTTCTCTTAATGTCTAATCTGAAACTCCTCCAGCACAACTTTGCCTTCTATCGCTGGTTAACAGGAAGAAAAGATCCACACACATTATGCATCCATAATCTCCTTGTTCAGCTCCAACCTCAAGGAATGAGGATCTGTGACACCAAGTGGGCCACCATTAACCCTGTCAATCACGTGTGAGTCAGGAACAGTGAGTGAGCCAGTCTCACAGAGGGCACAGCTCTCCATCACTAAAGGAGCTCTGCAAGTTTGTTGGCCTGACTGTGAGCATTGAGACCTGAGGGAGGTGTAGGTGCAGATTGTCCCTGTGCCCTGTGGTCCTTTTTGAGGCAGTTCATTGTGCTGGAAAAGGAGTTTCATCTGCATTCTGTGCCCCAGACAGCGTCCGCAGCCTGATGAGGAAGTCAAGTCCCGATGGATAAAAGATCCTGGGGTTTCACTGTGCCACAAGAAAACTGCCATTGCCTCTCCTGGGCACAGTTGGGGTTGTAGCACAGGAGATGGCCTAGGGTGTTGAGGAGTTGGGCCCTACAGCTGGAGCCCTTTGCCTGCAGCAAAGCTGGAAGGCACAGCAACCTGAGCCAGGACTGCAGCTGGACACAGCATTATGGCAAGGGGCTGGCATTCATTGGATATGAACGTGGCCCAGTTCTTGGCAACAGAGGCACCAAGAGCCCAGCCAGTAAGAGATAACATGGAATTGCCATAAAGTTATGCCAAGAATGAACACAGTGCACTACAGAGAGAAGAGCCATGCTGAAGACAGGGGTGGGGAGGGGCTCCTGTATAATCAACGAGTATACTAATGTATAATCAACAAGCATACAGAGAAGTTAGGCTGGTCTTTAGAGAGTGTATAACTGGAAAGATGATCACATTGGAAAGGGATAATCAGAATGAATGGAAAGCTTATCCGTGTCCTGAGCTTACAGAAAAAGACACCAAGAGGAGCAGTCTCCAGAGAGAGATCCTTCCTCAGTGACAGTCAGCCCTTAAATGGGGTCTAGGAGGGATGGAGCCAGGCTCCACTCCTTCCAGCCACACAGGTGAATTGCCTTCCCCTGTGCTCCCACGGCTGACTCATTGCTTGCCTCAGGTGATCAGTCAGAGGTTCAGGCCGTGATTCAATAGTTCCCATACAGCTCCCTTCCACTGATCATGGAGTGGATTGAGATTGGACCTATGATTGGAAGAGGGACGTAGCAGGGTGACTTGGGACACAAGGACAGATGGTGACATGAGAGAGACAGCGCTCCTGCAGAAGGGATGTGCAAGCTTGTAGGAGGGAAATGGTGCACCCCCATGATGCTAAGGTGAGGCCTGTTACTTAGCAAGGGCCATGGAAATGTTATCTCTCATGGATGTAAGTGGCATGAGAGAAGCTCCCATGGGTCCAATTTGGGCACGCTGTCCCCAGTAGGATCCAGCCTACAAACAGACTGTAGCACGCCCTGAGTCCTGGGCCTCTTTCAGCTTCTGGCACCAACAGCTGTATGGGAAGATGTGTGGGTGGAGAGGCATTGGCTCAGTGACCTCAGATGAGACAGAACCCACAGTGTGTGGGGTCTCTGCCAGTCCCAATTCCCCCCAGACTGGCACCTTTTCTAAAAATCTCATAGCCCTCGACTGCAGTGTTCCGCTTGTATGAGAAGAGAAATAATATAGACAAACATCAAGGAAAAATGTTCGTAACATTTTCTGTTACACCCTGTTGCATAAGATTGTTAAGTACCTTGTTGATGCTTTCCAAGTAGTTTCCTCACTACAACCTTGAGCTCCTGGTTCCTCATGCTGTAGATGAGAGGGTTCAGTGCTGGAGGCACTGTGAGTACAGAACTGCCAAGACCAGGTCCGGAAGAAGAGATAGAGGCTTTGGGCTTTGGGCAAGCAATCGTGTCAGTGATAACAGAAAGGGAGACAACAGCCAAGGTGAGGGAGGTACATGGAAAAGGCTTTGTGCTGTCCCTGCTGAAAGGGCATCCTTGACACAATCCTTGAGATCTGCACATAAGACACCACAGTGAAAACAAAATACCCAAATGCTGAAGAGGCAATAAAAATAAGAAGCCACACTTCCCTGAGTTAAGCGTCTGTGCATGAGAGCTTGAGGATCTGGAGGATTTCACAGAAGAACTGGCCCAGAGCATTGCCTTGGCAGATGGAGAGCTAACTTACATGAGCAGTGTGCAACGTGGCATTGAGAAACACCCAGCACCAGGCAGCTTCTGCCATGGCAGCACAAGCTCTGCTGTCCAGGAGGGTGCTGTAGTGCAGGGATTTGCAGATAGCAACGTAGTCCTAGGCCATAATGGTGAGAAGGGAATCCTTTGTCCTATATGGGAACTGTTAAGTCACAGGCAGAATCAGTGATGGAGTGCATGATGAAGGAGCATAGCCATCCCAGGGAGCACAGGTGGAAGCAATTCACTGGTGTAACCAGAAGGGGAGAAGCCTGTCTCCTCCCTAACCTTATTTAAGGGTTGGCCATGGCAAGGGAAGGAGATTATCTCCTTTGGAGTGTTTGGTGAGCCTCAGTTCTTGGAAAGGGGTAAGCACTTCCTTCTTTATTACCAGATTGTGACCTCTACCTTGCTTAGGTGATCTTAAACTGGTTTAAAGTAACTGTATTTGCTGTTGTCTTTCTCTATGTGTCCAAAAAGGAGTTGCTTATGATTTTGAGAGCAATGTCAGAGATGCAGCCCACGTTGAGGATGAGGAGGAAGTACATGGGAGTGTGCAGGCTGTGGTTGCAGGCTGTGGCTGCGACAAAGAGGCTGTTGCTCAGGAGGGCAGCCAGGTGGATGTCCAGGAAGAACTAGAAGTTGAGGAACTGCAGCTCCCTTGTGTCTGTAAATGCCAGGAGGAGGAACTCAATGGCACTTCTGTTGGTCATTGCTGCCTCTGTTCATAGAGATTGCCAGAGGAAGAAAATAAGAAAAAGATCAGATGAGCTTCCCTGAGGACAAGGCAAAGAAGCTGACCCACAAGGGCTCTTGGACACTGCAAAAATCCTAAGAAATGATCTGCAAGAGCTCTGGCTGCAGATAAGACAGTTCCTGCCCTGGATCACACAGCTTTGAGAGCAGAGAATGACAAGATGCTTCCAGACCTTCTGTCATGACAGAAACTGTGCTGGGTAGTAAGGGAGAAATTCGTGAACTGGATGCAGTTGTATGGAGAGTCACCAAGATTGTTAAGGCTAGGAAACTTGTATTTGAGAAGAGACTGAGAGCACTGGGCTTTTCCTGTCTGGAGGGTAAAAGATCTGCATGGAACACTCAGCAGCACTGCATCCTTCCCATGTGGAAGGTTAATATACATGATACAAAACATAAGGAGAAAAGGCAATGGGCTGCTATATGTTTATACGGAGAAATTTTTCTAGCACTAAAACTAAAGTTACTGAGTCAAAACTTCATTTTCCTTCTAAACCATGATTTATTTTTTTTGTCTGTTTTGCATTTCCAAATTGAACCACTCTTGCTTGTGTGTGTATCTAATGGAACAGTTCTAAAAAAAACCCAAAAAACTAAAGACCTAATTTTTAGGTGAGTGATGCTATCAGAGAGAAAGTAAATCCCTGGTGATCAGTGGATGCACTTCTAGGATCCAGATGGATGTTGTTTCTCTTTCTTACAACCCAAAGGAATCTAGGAAGATGTGTCACTTGCTACACTAAACGTAACTCATGGTAGTAATTTATATGGTAATTCCAGATGAGATAAATTAACATGCAGCACCTCTTCGCTGGTAAACTGGAACACAGTGGTGTGAATATCATCATGAATTCCATTCATATGAGACGCTGAGAAACATCGTAAAACAAGTGACAAATACTCCTTTTGGCTCGTCTGTTCTCAGTCGTATAGAAGCTTCCTTCCTTCTTGAAAGGGACCAAAATCAGGCCTTAACATACACTAGCAAACACTTAAGCAGAAATAAAAAGCACGTGGTGCTTTAAATCACAGCATCACTTGGGAAGTTATTCAGGTGAAGTACAGTGGAAACAACACAGAAAAACTCACTGCAACAAGCAAATAATTACTGGTCATATACAGTGGTCTGTATTCCCAGGAAATCTGACTGTCATATTTCTGCTTTCTACATCCAATTAGAATGCCTATGTGACAGGAAAAAAATTGTTTAACTGGAGCTCTAAGTAAGTAATGAGTTCAAACTTAGCAGCAAAAGGATATTCATACAGAATGGTTTGTGTTGGAAGAGTCCTTTAAAGATGGGCAAGCACTGGCAAAATTGCTAGGCTGGATGCAAAACTGTCTCTTTGTCAATAAGGCTTTATAAATATGTGCTGGGGTGTATCTGTGGGGAATGCTCTTGTCTCGTTC